GAGGAATACCTAGCGTAATTCTGTTGAACCTTCAACGATAGAAGGCATGTGCGCTATAGATTAGAGATCTGCAAAGTTAGGCCCGGCCCGTACCCAGCCCGAGTCCAGCTCGGCCCGAACGGGCTTCGGGCCGGAGTCGGGCCTAATTCTATTTAAAATAATTGGGTTCGGGCCGGATTGGGTCGGACCTTGAAATTTTTTTAAAATATATCTAAATTTTCAATTTTTTATTGAATTTTTTATGTAAAATAAAAATATTTGATTTTATTTATTGAAACTAAACGAGATATAACATGTCTTGAGTAATTATAAAAATTAATTTCTATATTTAAATAAATTCGGGCCGGGTGGTAAATTTTTTAAAAAAAATTTCGGGTTCGGGCCGGTAAAACATTTTTAAAAATATTTCGGGCCGGGCTTGAAAAATTAGGCCCGATGCAGATCACTACTATAGATCACGTATCACGTAATAAATGTAAGTTTCTTCTAATATTATTTGTCTTTAAAATCAAAGACTACATTAGTTGCACAACAAGTAATGTCCTAGCAAGCTATGTAATGAAAGATTATATCCGATTATTTTCTTTAAACATTAATAACCTTCAAAAATAAACTATATTAGTTGCACCACATATGATACATAACAAATCATGCATGAAAGATCATAAATAATTCTAATTGCTCAAGAAAATGGTATTAGTAAACAATTCTCTTCCAATTCAATATAATAATATGATATATAACATTTTTATTTCTTATTTTATAAAACTATCTTTCAAGATTATGTAATTACTCCAATGGTTGCTATTAATCAAAATAATATTATCACAATTTAATTGAAGATAATATAATAATGCATGTAGTGAGGTGACACTATTTAAATTATTTTTATATTTTATACTAAATGAATGATACATATAATCAAAGTATTTACAAAATATTGACATAAATTATGATGTTTTTATGAAAAAATATTGTGGTGATTTAATAAAATAAATAAAAAAATATATGCTTTAATGCCTAAAAATATGTCTTTTACTCCCAAAAATGACAATAATCTATTAATTTGGACATTCTCTTTTTCCCCTCTTATATAGCTAACTTAATTCAGTTTAGTTATTCATTGTTAAATCCCATGTATTTAACTTATCTTTCATATAAGTTTCATGTTTTAATTTAATATTAAATTCTCTCGCTTCAAACTTATTTGAGGGAATATTGGATGCCATTTTGGCTTATGCCCGTTTTGGTATTTTTTAATATTCGAAAGGGTTGACCCAAATCAAAGAGCAGATTTTTTTAAAAATCGAACCCACAAAAGTGATTAAATATTTCTTTTTCATCCATTGTGTCTTCTTATATTTATTTTATTTATTATTCATATCTAGGATAAAAAATATAATAGAATCATTATTTATAAAAATAATAAGAGATATACAATTCATGGTCAGTTAGCTAGACCCGGCCCATCGTATAATGTCTGAAAAATACTTTTTGGGCTAGTTCAGGCAAAAAAATCAACGAACCAGGCCTGGAAAAAAATATCTTTTGTGTATTAATATTTGATGAATTCTGATATTTCTTACAAGTAATAATCCATAAAGTATGGTTTTTATAGTTTATCCATTCCCTAAGAGTATTAGTTGTTTATTTTAGTGTACAACGACATAATATCATGATTTAGAATTTGTATTTTAAAAAAACTGGGCCCGGCCTTGCAACTTCAATAAAATAGAACTGGGGCACTATTCATTGAAATCTCTAAATATTTGTATATTTCTAAACTCGAAACCAATAACTCCACTCTCATTACATCTCTCGTTGCTTATATAATTTTAATGCAAAAATTATCGTATTCTATTCCTTTACACATTGGCCGCGTACAGAACCGTTCTTCTCTGCGAATCAAACAACACTCATAATAATTTACATCTCTTTCCACTTCTAGCACTAAATTTCGGCACTACTCTAAATTTTTTCACTTATATATTTTCAATGACATTTACATATTTTTTATAGATATAAATCTCTCTCAACTAGTATTTTACTATTGTATTGTGTCCTCTCTATATAATTTATTTCTTTTTACTCCGATTAAATCGACACAATATTTGCACACCTTATTTCCAATAATTAACATGCAAAACTATTCAAAATTACAATATTTTTTTTAAACCAAATTTCATAAATTATTTTTAAAAAAAACAAGCACCACATTTTTGTCAACACTTTCACAAATATCAACTAACCAAAAAATAATTCCCCATATGTTTGGATCATATTCACCTCTTAAAATATCATTTATTAATGCAATGCAACACTATGACTTCCCTGGTAAGATTTAGTCATGGCACCATTGTGATAATTATATACTATATATCTTCTACCAGTAAAACGCTATTTTATACCTACGAAAAAAAAAATAACAAAAAAAGTTGTTAATATTATAAAATCTCGTTCCTTTTATACTTTTTTGTGACAAACAAATCATATTAAAAAATATATATTTTACATGAATACATGAGTAAGCAATATTAATTTTAAATACATGTTAGCCAGATTTGATGGGAAATATTTCCATTATTTGAAAAATAAATTATCTGACTTGCAAAAAATTGTTAAAATAACATATTTATATATTCATATCAATTTTTATAAGTAAAATAATTTTATTTACAAACGAATAAAAAAATATGGAAATGTTCTAAATTAAATCTGCACAACACTGTAATAATATAACAATAATAAAAGAAAATTTATTGAGGGGAAGTACAGTATTGTGATTTTAATGAAACATATTGACCATTTAATTTAAACACATGCATATATAATTATAATCTTTACAAATGTACAACATAAGAAATAATATAATTATATATGCATGTGTTTAAATTAAATCGTCTGTTTCATTAAATCATCACAACACTGTATTAAGAAGTTTTTTTATAAATAAAAAGTGATGAAAGTTTTAGGTCAATAACATGATTCGCTTATCAAAATTTACTTTATTGAACGGGTAATAGAAATGGGAAGGAGTTCGATAATCATAGAGAATGGTAAATATTTTTCGATGGTAATGATTAACTTATGGGCTTATATGCGGTCTAATGGAGAAATGTTATCATAGATAAAATTATGTTAAGTGGTATATATAATATATATGAGGTGTTGCGTAATAGGAATATTTATTGACCAAATAATGAATCAAGAAAAAATATAGATTAAATTGATAAATAATATGAAAAAAGGTAAATTTCCAAGTAATTTTGAAAAATAGTTGGAGAATTAAATTTGGGGAATAATATAAGACTGAGGACTTATTGTTTTTTTTAAAAAAAAATGAGCCCTTATATTTTAAGGAAAAAAGTTAAATATACGTTTTCATTGTAATGAGTTTGGCAAACTTGTTTATTAAAGAGAAAATTTAAAGTTCTTAATAAAATGAAGAAACAATTGGGGGATAAGGTTAAATGTAATGTTTTTCTTATAATAGTGTATTAAATTAGATTTCTCTATGTGGTGGTTAAATGGATTTTTAACCAATCAGTTCATTGCGCATATGTGAGGCTACATCGAATGCCCTCTATTCACTTACATTTTCAATATAGTCCTTATCTATGTCTTGAAGCCATTTAATAAACTTATAAGATTGTATTTTCCTTCATATTCCATTTGATATTGTGAGCAAAAAGCACCTGATCTAGGCATTAATAAATTGGCTACTATATATATGACAAATTTCGGCAAGCAAATTATGGCCAATTCGGGTCAAATATACGGGGGCATGCCGAAGAAAATCCTTTAACATTAAGGCGTTATGATTCATAATAGTTTCTTTCAAATTTGAATTTCTATATTTTTAAGAAAAACCCCAAGACCAAAGGGATAATTTTCGGCTAACAGCTCGTTTTAGCCTGCTAAAAATTGGCTTAAATGACTAAAAATATATTAATTACCCAACTATTATTAGGGAGCGTTGGAGTTTGATTTTTCAGAAATTTTGTCTATCTATAATTAATGATCTTTGAAAATATTTATTAGAAATTTTATATTCTGAATATTAATTTGAGTTGGCATACTTCCCTATTAAAAAATTTGTTTAACCTTCTCTTTTCAAAAGCCAATTTAAAGAGGATATTTAAAGAAAATTTTATACATAAATACTGGAAATTTAATTAATTCGACAAATTATTATACTTTGTTCGGAAAAAGGAAAAAATTTCTGGAAACATTTTCTATGAAACCACTACAAAAAGACTTATCTGGAAGTGGCCTTACACTTATGTTTAACATTACATGAAAAGGAAAAATTAAATAATCATGAAGCTTAATAGCAGGATTTTGTTGGTCGGATGGAATTTCAGGATGCTTAATAGCAAATTTAATTTAGCAAAAATATTTTAAAAAATTGACCTGATCTGCCTGATCCTACCAAAATTCAGATATGGTTTCGGGTTAATGTAAATTTTGATTAATAAAATTTCTTGCAATATTAATTCGTTGATGTTTGTTATCAACCTAAATAAATATAATTGTACTTGTTTCTATTTAAATTTTCTATTTGTTCGGAATTTAGAAGGGAGTTATATTTTAATCTGATTTCCCAAATAACATATTACGGTAAAAAAATATTTATAAATTTTGTATAAATTTTAAATTATTGATTATTTTTTCATGTCTAGTTATATTATAGCTTAGTGCTTGAGTATAATTTAAAGGAATAAAATCGGATTAATATTTTTACAAATAAACATTTTTTTGGACCAAATATCTAACCTAATATTGAAAAACCTTTTAAAAAACCATTTTATCAATAAAGATGCTATGCGGGATATTCGTTATATCTTGCGCGTCAAAACGATATCAAATAACCGTATATTTTTTAAAAGTATTATAATAGAACTCTAAAAATCCTCAAAATATAATAAACAAATAAATTTTAATTAAATTTGATAATTCTATTTATTAATATAATTAAATAACTGAACATTTTAAAATAACATGTGGTAGTAAATGAATATGGAATCACAATAAATAAAATTAGGATATCATTTTTTATGTGGAGCATATTTTTCCATTCAAAATTAATTAATCGGGGCAACCTTTTTTAATCCGAATATCTTCAAGGGGAATTATTCTTTTATTCATCCACATTAGAGCGCGGCTTCCGTTTTGTTGAATCAGTATCGGCGTTATATATCTTTTTATGTTTGAGTTATAATCATCTATCCATTTCACCTAATAAAATCATAAAATACGAGTAAATAAATACATGCAAAAAAAATTAACAAAATATTGCTATAACCAGTGACGCATCTCAATAACTTTCAATTTTGTAAAAATTAGTGTCTATATAAAATTAGTAAAAAGAAAAGTAAAGGGTGGTAAGTCTTTCTGCATAGAAAGAAGATTCAAGTCTAAGATAAATTTCAATTTTTCACGTAGCCTTTCAAAGTTTTCAAGAGAATTGAATCCCTCTGGCCCTCTCTACTGACTATAGCCTATGGCTAATTTACATACTTAGACGAAAATATTATATCGATATAATTTAAAAGCCCTAATAAAATCTTTTAATTCAAAGATTAAAAATAAAACACAAAAACACTATGACTGTTAACCTGATTGCAATTCAGTAATGAGTAATCAATCAGCTTAGGTTCGAACGGGACTAAGGTATATGATTCGAATGCTAGGTAATCTTGATCTGAGTAATTATACTGAGAATAAAAATATTAAACATATTATAAAAAAAAGTAGTTTTTAGTTTTAAATCCTCGAGGTTATAAATTCTATAAGATTTTAGTAAAATTTGGTATAAAAATAAAAACCTAAATTTATTGAATCCGAGCAAATTTTTATAGAAAAATATATAAATTTATTTATATCCCCTGTATTTTAGTACACAATTTGAGCTTTTAAATGTATCCACAAAATCGAGATATTTTAGATACTCTCTCTCTTTCTATTGGAAGTTAATTTTCCAATTTTATTCATAATAAATATAAATTAACCAATAAAAAAAGAGATTTTTTTCTTGATTCTGGTAATTTTAAAATTATTTGATATGTATATATCCATTTATATGGCACTTAGAACAGAATGTATTAGATTTAAAAATGTAAATTATAAAATTTTTTTAATATATAATAACACACCCTAGTTAACAACAGTACTTGAAAATTATTTTTTTGATCAAAGTCATTTTCCCGGATGCTTGTTATAATGATTTTATTACAATTATTTTAATACTCAACCATATAAAGGCTCATTAATTTGTTTTCAGAAATTTAAAATAGGCAAAAAAGAAATATTCTTCTCACCTTTGTCGTAAAGTTCTTTACCATAACTATCGTCTCTAAACGAACACCAAAGTCGTTGGCTTTATAAAACCCGGGTTCTAGTTATTATTATATAGTATATTAGAATTTGAGAAATAAAATTGTGATTTCATCATGAAAGATATTTTATGCATTATAATTAAAAAGATTTCCTTATAAAACATCTCTTTTTTACAAATAACATTTGGTATTTTTAAGTAAAATTTGATCAAAAATCTTTCTTCTTTAAAAAAATTTTCAAAAATTTTTGAAGGAAAATTTTTTGATTTTTTACAAACTCTTGTAGTATATATTATACAATAAATACTACAAGTCCGCGCGTTTATGAAAAATTTGGTCCGGCCCGTGGTAATTTTTTTATGAAAGAGTATGATATAAATTTGACTAATTGTAAGCTTTGACCCGACATCTAATATGTTACACAAAGTGTCCGAATATCCTTCAGGCTTTAGTCGGGCCTTGCCGATCCTTAATACGCACAGAATCTAAGCGATATTATTAATATATACCATCTGATAAAAACATCCCATGTTTGAAGTTAACGTCCAATGATCCCGCAACGCCTATGAAAATGGGTCCTATTTATAATATCAAATAAATGTATAAATTTTATCTTAACGAATGAATGAATAAGTAAAATGATAATTAATCATAATATCTAACAATAGTTTAAATATGATCATTCTTAAATTTTTAATACCTTCGTGAACATTTAGAAAAGCTCCCAATCCATGTCCAGTTCCATGCCTGTAATCCAATCCCATTTCCCATAAAGGCTGACGAGACATCGTGTCAACTTGGCGTCCTACAAAATACAAATTTATAAGGATACACTGATGTTTTTATCGGATCGGACCGATATTGTGTCTCTTTTAAAATACTGGTTATCGGCCGCTAGTATAAAATTTCTGATCCGATAAAATGATGTCTTAATTTTAAAAAAATTTATTTAAAATTTCATAATATATTTGTTTATTACTTATTAAGTAAATAGATTAATGTTATTATATAAGTGATTTATAGATAAAAATATTTTATATACTTTTAGATTCATGAATATAAACTACAACTGATCATATAGTTAAATAATAGATGATTTATTATTAAAAAGTATTGAGATGAGTAGATGATGTAATGGTGCAAAATTGCTTCAAAACGTTAACAAATTTAGCTATAAAAATATTGCCCAAGCCTTAAGATTTTGCTAATAGATGTCCAAGCCTTTGTGCCGCCTAGGAGCAAAATCTTCAGCCTTGCGTAATATTTTTCTGGATAAAATCCCGAGTTAGTTGTCTTTAAAAATCGTAAATTAAACCATTTTGCTATTAGATGTACGCATTATCAATTATATTATGTTTAGATGATGCGAATGATATCGGATCGGTAATCGGTCGATATCAATTTAATATCGCTAATATCGGATTGGAGCAGCTTTTAAAAAATGGTATCAGACACCCCTACAAATTTATATCAATGGCTAAACCATAAATTCAATGCCAAAATTGTAATATATAAAATATATATTTTACCTAATAAAGTATCATTTTAAGTTTAAAGCTTATCAGTACCCTCTAGCACTTGGGGCATAATGTAATGGCGTCATAAAAATTTGGGGAAGGGAGAGCGATAAGACAGAGTGGGAGTTGTCCTCTTAGTCAAATAGTAAGTATCATTTTATACTTGAATAAAGTTATATTTTAGCCATCAGGGAGGACTCAGATTCATTGTCTTATGAGGGTGGGGGGGGGGGAGGGTTTGAGTACCCTGAGATATGAGATTTTAAGCCAGCAAAGTGCCATTTTTAAACTTAAAAATTTTATTCATAATACAAGGTAAAATGCTATATAAAGCAATAATTTAATAATAACTATGAAACCTGTAATGTAGTTAGGAAAAACCAGAGATGCCAAATTAATGGACCCCATTAAGACTCGTGTATAAACTTCCTATAATCAATTGGGGGTTTTATAAAATAAAATTACTAAAAAAATTATTATATTCATTATAAAACCTTTTGAAATTTGGTCGGAGAACCAAAATGAAATGTTCTGGTAACGTCAGTAGTTCCATCTCTATTTAAAATTTACAATAAAGTTTCTTCTTTTTATTATAATATTTTAAAAAAATTTATAATGAATTAAATAGTATGTACAAAATACAATAATATGAAGAACAAACAGATATTGTGCCCCAGAGTCTAATAAATATATTTCTTGTTTAGTTATCATTCTCTTGGTCTCAATTTTTGGCGAATAATGAATAACCGCAGAATTGGGACCTACAGCGGATATCGGCTCGAAGCTTAAACCCTTGAAATATTTTTGCTTGCTATATAATATTTTAAAAAAAATGAAATTTAAACATAATTATACAAATAATTATTAAACCTGCGATAATATTCGTAAATAGGCAATATCGATATTTCGTCCCACTCTCTGTCATTTTCAATCTGAAAAAACAATAATATAAAAATTGTTTTCCATTATAGTAACTCAAATTTCTCTTCTCTTCTCTTCTCTTCTCTTCTCTTCTCTTCTCTTCTCTTCTCTTCTCTTCTCTTCTCTTCTCTTCTCTTCTCTAGGGGGCCAAATATTATTCTGACCATGTCTAAAATATTTTATCTGAAAACACTTATACATCAAATACTTATATAAATAATTTAACGTTTAAACAAGATATTTTCAATATTCTCCCTTAGTTAATACTTAATAATAATTACCTTATGTTCTAAAATAATAATTAAACAAAAATTATCCACTAAGGTCATAATATTAAAACTCTGTTCGTTTTAGAATATAACAATAAAAATCGGTTTTATTATGAAAAATTTAAAAACAAAATTATTATTAAAAAACTAATTTATTTATTTTACACTTAAATAAAATATTATTTATTAAACTTCATCTTCCAGGAAAGATATCGCGTTTATAAGAGCGGCCGAATCTCTGTACTGTTAAATAAAGATAATAATTTGCAAATAAATTATGGAATTCTACTTCCAAACAGACTTCGTTTTCGTAAGCGATAACGTATTAAGATGAAATTGTCCTAAGTTGTTTGTTTGGACAATCATATCACATGATCGCTTACGAAAAATAAGATAGAATTGGTGGTGGCATAAATATTAAAATTTTCATTAATAACCAATTAAAGTGGAAAAAACTTCAAGATGTTGTTTTGGAATAGGCATTATACAATATTTTTCAAAATAATTGGCATTTAATTTTACCCATCATTCATACAAAAAAATGATAAAAAATTTAATATAATTCATAATAACCAGGTCAAAATACCCACTAAAATAACGTCTAGAATGTCTGAGGATAAATTCTCAACTGGACTAAAAGGCCTAAAAATGTCGATGAACAAAATGTCCAAAAAAATATTTTCGGCTGACATTTTATCCTTATTGAACAATGTATTTCGATAAAAAATTCCTGAAAGGAAACTTGGGCCTGCTTCATTCCCTCAATCTCGATCGGGTTTTTGATAATTTTCATCCACTTTACCGGCGAATAATCCAAAAATACAAGGTTCTTTTAAAAAAAGAATTGTTTTAAAAATTAAAAATTGAGTTAAAATTTATAATTAGAGTTGTAGCCTATTTAAGATAAATCAGCTGAAGGAAGCTTTTTTTTAAAAAAAGGATGTTTTAATAATTGAGAGTTTTGAATCGGGAATTAGAATTTTAAGAACCGGGACCAAAACGTTTTATTAAATTTCCAGGATTATAACAAAAAGTGAGGCCATTTTTTTAAAAATATATATTTTATTCAAAATGTTATGACGCATTTCAGAGTCTAGCAATACTGAAATTACTTGTATCTGTATCTAAGATATATTTTTTATAAAGAATCTGTACCTATATTATTTTTTAGGACTTACCCAACTCTGATGCATTTCATACGTTATATATAAAAGAGTTTTAATCTTAGTCAGAACTAAGGGAAACCTTGGAACCCTTCACAAAAAGCTGAAACAGCCCCTATTTTAAAAAATCACTCTTTCTTTCTCTCCCTCTGCCTCTTCTCTCTTTTATATTCAAATACGTGTTTAAGTTATATTTGTTTCATAAATTTGAAAAATACCTGTGAAGCTTTCTTTATGTTTTCCTCATTGGGTGATATTACTATTGATGAATAAATTCTCATATTAATTGATTTTGGTGTCTTGATTATATTGAATTGATTCATATGTTGTGGGAAGAATTGGTAAACTTCATCATAAGTTAGAAACTTTTTTTTTAGAAAAAATTTAAAAAAATTAAGTAGAAATTTTGAGATCGGAAAAAGAAAATAGAATTTTCCTTGAAATAAAATATGTTTTTTATATGCATATTTTAAAAATTAATTAATTGGAGGTTTTTTCCCTTTTAGCAACTCCAGCAAGAATAAGATTATAGACTTATAAGTCTATGCATAAAATAAAGTCATAAAAATTATAAACATAATATAAATGTTCTGAATAATATTGGTGACTTCCAAGTCAAATAAAAAAGTATGAGTTTCATCGAATTTCTCATCTCTTAAACAAACTCCTGAACTTTTTTGAGATATTAAATTCTCAAATTAGAGAAATTTTTTTAAAATGCGAAGGCCTGTTTTATTTTTAAATGTAATCTGAATTTAAAAGTCTATTCCTTGAAAATTTTGACGAGATATATCCTTTTCTAAACTTAAAGATAATTTAATACAAGTTTGACTGACTCAAGACAATTGCTCCTTACATCGTAATAGGTGTGGCACTAAATTTTTTATTTACACTTTGGATCATCAGGGGAGGAGGATATAAAAAATAGAGTTTAGAAAATCACGATCTGGTTTTGAATAGTAATAGATTTTAAGTAAATTTTCCATGTGCGGCATTATAATGATATCAAAATAACTTTAACGCATAGTTTTGTGTCCTCGTCGTCGCAATGCCTCTGTAAATTATCTCTGACCTCCTGTGGTAATTTGATATTGTTTATGAACAAGCTACAATGACATTATGGGAGAGGAGGAGAGAGGGGGGAGAAGAGAAAATATTTTTTAAAATAAATTAAGTATTATAAAAATGATTATAATCTTTTTTTTAAACTATATGGAGGAGTCCGTGATAATACTATAAGCGAAAAAGACTGGATTGTATGGAATGTCGTCGCCCCTTAAGTTGTAAAGCCCTAATTTAAAATATAATTTAAAAAAAATGTTAATTAAGTTATAGGCCATGTCCAAATTAATGTCATATAATATTTACTTAGAGAATTTTAAATGTGTATCAAAAAAAAAATCAGTTAGCAGCATACCGTTTGGATTTTCCATATAAATAATTTTCTCTAAAATTTTATGAAATCAAAGTTTTATTCATGCATGAAAGTTTTCATACCAGAAACGGAAATGTGCATAACCAATTTGTATTTAACTACGCTTCAAATTCATTTAATGAAATCGTTAGGCAAGTATACATCATTGTTTAAAGAAATAGCCTTATGTAAATGAAAATAATTATATTGTTACAAGCTATGTCATCCAGTTCGGAAATCAGTAATGCGCACGTTTGCTGATCTCCATTATCGTTTATAGAACGTTTTCTCACTCTTTCAACTTTATTTTCCCAACTTTCACCTATCATATTTATATTATAAAATATATGTGGCAGTCATCAGGAAGGGTTTTAAAAGCCGCAACATTCAAAACGCATTTTAAAAAGAGGGCACTTACATTGAAGTCCGCCATTGAAAGACTAGACGAAATGTCTGCTACAGCTAGTAAAATTGAATATCTGACATCAATGTATGTACATTTTTAATAAATGAAATTGCCAGTCTAAGTAAACATTCATGTCATTGGTTTAAATTATAATTGAGTAAAATCAATAATTGCAGTTATTTGAAAAATATCATTTAAATTGTAAAAAATAAATTAAATATTGAGTATAAACACTCTAAGCCCTTTCCGATTAGAAATACAGTGGAGAAAAAGAAACCGCCCAAAAATGAATCTAAAAAAATACTCCGATTTATTTATTTCAAAAGTGGATTAACCAAACCCAGCCATATAGGACTTTTTTAAGGCATCAAACTGATTGATTGAATGGGGTATTTTGTTTTTATTCGGATGTCTTTGTGACAAGGGACAATTTTTCCCCTTAGTGTATAAACTCTCATCGCTAAATCATGTGAAAATAACAAAATATGCGGAAATTCGCGCTAACTGTGAATAAGAGATAAAAATCATATAAATTTTATTACCGGATATTTTCTCTGGCAGAAGATATATCTTATTATTCTTATTAGCTTCTTTTTTATTTAATGTATTCCAAATCGAATCGACTAAGTCTTCGCTCACTAAAAGAAAGATAAAAGTTGGCTCCAATTCATCTCTGTAATTCTTCCATAAACCTGTTATAACAAATAAACAAATATTATAAAAATTATGTATTATTTATAATGATTTTTTTTTAAATATTGTATTTAAATTCAAATTTAAATCAGTTAGCTGAGTGTTGATAACTCATAAGCGTAGTCAGGAATTTCATGAAGCGAGGGGAGAGGTGTAAAAATTATATAGGAGAGTTATGGGAAAATCGTTTTTTTTATATTTATGCACAAATAATAATTATTAATTTTATAGAATTTAATTTATTAATAAATGATTAAGCATCCCAAATATTTAAGTTGTTAGGAAAATTTTTCAATTTATTTAATTCATAATGTTTGAGATAATATCTATTATTGTGCCTATCTCCCCCTCCCATCATTCTCCGTTATCTGTAGCTAGTAAAGAGCCCTATTTGCATGTATGAAAACTTCGTATGATTTACCATTATTACAATTATCACGTCAAACTCATACACATTTTTATATACTTCTTATAAAATTTTTTATTTCATTAATGAAGAATTCTGATCTATTAAATTCAAGTCGGGCCAATTCCAAGTTAAAATGATAAGTAGAAATGTCATAAATTATGCCATATAATAGTAGATTACTTACTATAAGAAATGACATTAGCATACACGCCTATTGTATCACCCTTTTTTAAATTTGTTCGTAGCCAATTTGTCGTATTCAGTGTATTTCCTAAACCTATTAATGATAATATATATTGTAATATTTTACTATAATAATTAGCTAAATTTTGATATAGTATATTTAAGCATTATCATTATTAGGCAAAACAAAAATAAATATTATAAAATATTTTGAGATATTGGAAAGCAATGGCGGCCCGAGCCGGATTTAATGGATAGAGATTCGCTATCTGTCAAATTAAGGATATTTAATTTGTTCTGGGCTTCTGATATCAGTAGACAGTCTAGTTCAGTTTTTTATATCCATTCATGGTTTGGACAGGAGGGTGATTGCTCAATTTAAAATAGTTCAATGTCGGTATACAAAAAACACCTGATTTCATAAGAGTCCATATTTGCGAATTAAGCTCCTGGCTAGCTTGTAAATGATATCTTCCATCTGTCCATAACAACGCTTTATCCAAAGTAACAATTACCGTTCCTTAATATTGATTTAAATAATCGATTTATTTAATATGACTAAAATATTTTTATTGGTTTTCAAACTCAATGCTTATAATTTTTCTGATTTGTTTTCTAAAATATCACACACTTTTTATCAGTCCAATTAAAAAAACCGGATTTGATTGGACTCGGACCTATTTTTAAAATAAAATTTTGGATAATCTAGGATCAGATTGGTAAATTTTCAAATTATTCTCTGATCGGATTGGTTAGGATCAGGTCGGATTTTAACCCTTTCACGCCCGTAATATTTCCCATGAACAAAAAATACTTGTACTTTGAATAATAAAATAATGATTTTGACATTTTGATATAATAAAATAATGATTTTGACAGGTTAATGATAAAATACGAAATAATAAATATTGTTTTGTAAATTAATATCTCTAAGTACCAACCATTAGTTTCTTTAAATATAATGACAAATGATCTCGCTGGGCGCGAAAGGGTTAAAAAAAATAGGTTAGATAGAAAGCTCTAATTTAAGATATATATTTTTTTTAAATTAACCTGCAGAACCAGTAAATTCCGATATAAATTCTCTTCTTTTATCAAATTCATTCACGTACTCATTCTTTAAAAAAATATTTATAATTTAATATTAGGTATTTCCTCGTAAATTCAAATAGGATTTAAATACATAAAAATTAAATATTTATATTTTTTAAATGTGATTTGAAGGAAAAAAATGAAGCCCTAAAGGGTTTTAGATATCCTATATATTCTTCCGGCCCCATATCTTTCAAATTTATTTTATCCTTAATCTTCGCATAAATCAAAACAATAGTATATATAGTTTTTTTTTAAGTTGTAGCATACCTTTTTTCAAATACATTAACTTTTTACAAAAACAAAGTGAACTTTTAATGGCTAATAATATTGTATCCTATTTTTACTTGATGTTCGTCGGTTGAAAGCACAATATAAGCGTCTAATTTTCTTTCTAGCATATATCGCCTCAATAATACTAGTTTTCTCTCCGCTAAAGCTTCTGGCCCATTTTGATTTTCCCAATTAATCTATTACATTTATATAATATTTTATATAATGCTCGGAGAATTAAATATAAAACCTTAAATTTATATAATGCTCGGAGAATTCAATATAAAACCTTAAAACATATATCACCTTAAATAAAATAATATTAACCTTTTATCTTATTATAAACCAATAATTATATCCGAAAATATTGTTAATTTTTAATTTGAACCTAACTCTCACTCATGTACATAACATTTATACACATCTTTCTTTTTTTTTCTTTCTTTCTTTCTAGAAAAGAAAAGTTCATATCATTTAGGCCGTTCTATTTCAATGCAAAAAATTTTATAAGGAGCTCAAAGAAATGTTTTAATAAATTTGTTAGGTTTGCTTTAAATAAAAATAAAATAATGCCGTTTCAATGCTAAATGCTAATAAATCCTTTGATACATAAATCCTGGTGTTGCTTTAACTTTAATATTTAAGGTTTTATGATATTATTGTAGTATATTCATAGATTATATGCCTAAATTGTGTTTAACTTCATAAAAGACATATTTATAAAATCAATTCATATTGATTTTTCTGACAATTTTTAAAAGGCCTAACCTTTTCACCGGGAACCTTGCGTATTTTTTGAATTCTCTTGCTGAATACCTTGACGCGTAGATCTCTCGGAGACGAATTCTGTCCAGGGAAAAATATTCGACCATTGTGACCTAGTAATTCATGAAATCTATGAATTTTAATTTCTCCATTATCCACGTTGTAGTGATTCAACGATTTTATTTCGTTTTGATTAACTGACCGATTATAGTCGTTGTGTACGTTTGAATCAATAAAAATGGTGGCGCGCGTGAAAGATATGGCTAAAATATATATATATATATATATCCTTGAGAAAAAACAGTCGTTGGAAGCGTCGGTCATCATTAGCAATTTGTCAAATAACAACCAAATTTGCTAAACAGCTACCAAAGTATTATTTACCCGCTTTTATTTTAATATATATTCATTGGTTTCCGATATTCTACCTATCATACCCTAGCACAGAATCACCTAATTGACTTTAAGAAAAAACACGCTTCTTTCTGGATTCGAACTAGATCTATAAGGTAAGTGGTATGCACTCACCCACTAGGCTACACAGCTTCTTAAAAGCAACATTTTATTTTTGTATGCAAGGAAATAGTTTATCTAATATTTTAATAAGACACATAAAAAAAAATCAAAATCGTTCAACGCCATACATCATTTATCAGAGTTTGAACCTTTTAAGCGCAATCTATAATAAAATACATTATATTGGATCCTTCTCAACTAAACGCTTTGATTTATGGCAATTTATTTTAAAATAAAAAATATTTATATCTTTATTAATGTTTTTCTAATTTGTTAATATTATGACTATTATGCTATTGGCAAATAAAAAAAATGAGATATTTAAAAGGAAAATGACAATTATCATTAATAAAATTATAAATTTGCGTAAAGACTCGGCAACGATGTATAAAGGCGGCTCTAGGTTCATTTATTTTATGTAGGGGGGGGGGTGCTTAGCAACCCTAAGATAAAAATTAGGACTCATGTTTAATTTTTTGGCACATCCCAAGGTTATTATATAAAACCAAATTTTGATTTTTTGACTCTGGAGGGCAGGGTCTAAGGCTTTATGCTGATCAGGGCAAAAATAAATTTAACGGCCCATTAAAAAACTCAGTACTCACTTAACCCTAAGAAAAAAAATCCAAATAAAAGTTGCCAAAAAATCTAAAGAAAATAAAAATTAATGCACAAAAATCAAAATATGATGGCCCTAAAATAGTCTAGCCTTTACCAAGCCGGCTCTCTGTTGGAGAAAAGGACATATTCCAAGCTTTATTCCTCTGAGGCCAAATAAATTAAAATAATAATCCATTTTTTTTAAATGTTGATATAAATATTTTAATGATTATACATAATTTTAATTAGAAGAAATTTAAAAATTAATTAACTCGAAGGTTTAATCAAAATGGTCCAGTCATAGGATGATGCAAATTTTTATAATATTCTTTTAAATATAAGTATTTATAAAATTATTATATTTTAGTATAATATTTTAATTTGAAGTGTGATAGTTCTGTTTTTGGGATAGGCGCGTTTATATTTATAAAAGCAAATTTATGAACTAAATGGTGATTTAAAATGTAAATGGTGTTTCATTTATATCTATATTAATTATATTAAATATTGGATATTATAATCATTATTCTAGAATTAGAAAATAAGTTATGATATATTTGCTTAAAATTTTTTTTTTATATTGAATACATTTTCTTTACCTCTAAAAGCAACGAATAGAATCCAAAAGTCTATACATGATGCCGTTAAGAAATTGAACATAATCTGTTATAATTTTTTAATTAAATATAAATATATACAATATGTTTAATTTTTTTTCCTACATAAAATAACCGTAATGATAGATGTTATGTTATAAATCAGATTGACCTTTAAATCAAATATATGGTATTATATTTTCATAATTAGCTTTTATCTTTTAGTAATAAACGCAATTTTATAAATATTGTAATATTACCACATTTATCGTAAAATTTAAGGGTTTAAAATTAACGGTGAGATATTTTTAAGCCTCGAAATTCATTATGTATAAAAAAATTCTCATTTAAAATAGGTATAATTTGTTATAGAAATCAAATTATTAAAAAGTCAATACAATAACATTCACTCGTTGGAGAGAGTAGAAATAATATAGAATATAACAACTATATACTATACTTAGAAGTTTAACCTAAAGTTTATTTTTTTATTAAAAAATTTAATTATTTTTACCTGCGTGAGAATAGGGATTTATTATTCAACCAAATGGATGTGTAAAAATTTGCTGTTATTACCACTAGTATGTTCATTTTTTAAAAAAAAATACAATAAGCTTTTCAATTCATTAAATTACTTTAAAAAAAAATATATAAAATAAACTAATTAAAAAAAGTATAATTATAATGAATATTCATAATATTATTGTAGAATGAAATTAAAATAACATTTTTGTATTCTGAATTATTTTTTTTAATTATATATTTTTTTTACTAAACATCTGAATAAATAGTATAAATAATAAATTTACAATAAGTTTATATAAATTTCTGTAAATAATCCTCCCCCCCCCCATAATATGAATATCTAAATTCTAAAATCAGTTCATATGTTTCCAAGGATTTCTAGGAAAAAAGTCTCAGAAAAGGAAACTTTCTGGATAAGAAATTACCGAGTTTATTTTTGATTTAAATATCATGAAATGAATTTCTTATCATAGCTTTTAGATTTTTCCTTTTATAAGATTGAATGGGAACTATAAGCTTAAAAAAATGATATTAGATGCTTAATATGTTTCTTAGTTAGATCGAATTGGGCATGTATCTAAAAAAATATAGTTCGAATCGGATCAGACCTTTCAAAAAAAAGCAGGATGGTCGGAATAAAAATTTCCGGGAAGGGTACCTGAGAAATAGCTATAATCGCTGGAAATAAGCTACTATTTTAACAAGTTCTGTTGTTTTTGTAAAAAAATACTTTTTGAGGTTTAAATTCCTGTTGTTGTAATATTACTAATTATTTGGCATCTTATGCAATGCGCCTTCATATCGACGGTTTGTTTTGCCCAAAAAATATAGGAGAAATAATGACTCTATCGCATGTATTATCTATATGTACTATTTAATCATTGGATAATTGTGAATGCAATCACATGCAAAATTTCTCAATATTATCAAGCATAATTGATATAGAAATATTGAGGGACATCTTGGAATTACCTAGAAAGATCGAGTTAAGATAATCCATTCCTTTTTAGATAGGTAAAAAAGAAGGAAAACTATCCAAGCAACAAAATAATTCAGACGTTTATGTTTTAGATACCAAGAATTTTTCTAAGGGTCCCTAAAATTATATTATAAATGCATTCGTATATCTTTATATATATGAGGAAGAAAAAAGAAGTAAAAATTTTATAAAAGATAAAAGAGTGTCAAGTTCTATAAAAATCTGAACTAAAAATTGTAAATAACATGAATTATATTTCTGCAGGAATTGTCACTTTTCAAATTTCAGGTGAATTCTGCCGGTAAAAACACATTAATGCTAAAATGGCTCACTGAAACTCGGGGAAATTTTTAATATTCGATTTTTTTAAAATATTTTTATTTATTTTTTTAAATATTTTTTTTGTTTAAAAAATAATAAATATGCGATCGTGTGGATATGGATGGAAATTTTTTGATGTAATAATAATTCAAAGTTTTATTACTCAAAAGTTTAAAGAATTTCATATTTTCTTGTGAAAATTTTCACAAATCTTTAATTTTACATTAAAAATAGAGTAATTATTTAAAAATTTTAAAAAGGCGTGTGATCAGGCGCGTACGCAGGAATTTGGTCTGGGGGGGGGGGATAATAAATTTTTTTAAGAAATATTATTGTTAATTAAAAATACTAAGCATAAATTTATTAGGATTAATAACTTTTCTAATACACAATTTTAATCCAATGTGAATTAAAAAAATTATATATATAAACCGGCATTGAAAAACTATAAAATAAATGTAAATTATAAAATATAAAGTGAATATAACCCACGATATGAATCACTTAAATGACCCAAAATTGAAATTTGAATTTTTTGAGCTTTTAAAATATATAAAGTATAAAAAATTTAAATGTTGGAAATATAAATTAATACACAAAAAGTTTCTTAGGAATAATTGTATTTTGTATGTTTTGAGCTAATTTTTCAATTATCTATCCTTGCTTGGCGTTAAATGCCTATGAATATTCAAAAGATCCAAATCATTCAATCTACTTTCAGATGTTATATTTCATAGGTATGTTTTTCATAGACTTGCAGGCCCGGCCGTATTTGAATTTTTTTTTAAAAAAACACCCGGGCTGGGCCTGAAAATTTTTTTAGAAAAAATATCCGGGCCGAGCTGTATATTTTAAAACCAAATATTTGAAATCGCCATTATTAGCTATAAAAATCAAAAATAAATATAATTTATTTTTAAAAAATTCGGGCCGGGCCTGAAATTTTTTTTAAAAAAGGCTCTGCTATTCTTCTTAAAAAAGAGAATGTTCTCTCATTAGTTTACCAAAAAGCTGCTAATATATATATAACCATTTTAATACATTGGGAGTATAATCTAAAATGTGTTTGAAATAAAAAGCATCCATAGCATTTTTTGGGACTGTATCAACCATAGTTAATCTTTTAATCATAGTTATTCAGCTAATAAGGCATCATAAGATATTTTAACATCTTCATGATAAAAATCTAACAAATATTTATATTTTTTTTCTATCACCATATGAAAAAGGTTGGGAGAGGGGACATTTGTTTTATAATACTCTTCTACTGATCTTATATTAATATTTGACGATGAGCTTACTTGCTGCAAGTCGAGGGGGACAAATATTAAACACGTATAGCTCTGCTTTTGACTCTACAATAATATATAAAATATGAAATCCTTCAACAACATTAGCTCAAATTTCCTTGCTATTCTCATCTTCTTAATCAAGTCAATGTTATGTTTTTGAAAAGTATTACATAAAATAGTTGCATAATTAAATAATACATTCTAATGAGAAAAAAAAATTTGGAATAAGTATTGAATCCAATAATTTTCTTACTTCTGAGGAAATATTTCTTTCAAGCCATTGTGATATTTCAGTAATAGCATTAATAATCGGCTCTTCTAACTCCATAATAGCTGTTACTGCTTGATGGCGGAGACTCGATCTCGTTGGACAAGCTTGCAATTTCTTTCTCCCTGTTGGACAAGTTTCAGAGATAATTATTATTTGACTATAAATTTAAATAAATATTGCGCCACTAAAATTTGAAAATAAAAGGTAAATTACGCCAAGGAAAACTTGAAATCGAAATTGATTGGTAAAATAACTTAGTAGATGAATGTGATAAATAAATGTAATTAAATAAGGAATAAATATTAACAAATATAAATTAATAACAATAATATTTTTGAAAAATATAATCCGGCATCTGCATTTTTTGGCTTTGGGGGAGGGGGGGATTTGTCGCCCTGCCCCCCCCCGCTGGGTACGTCAATGCGTGTGATATATTGGATGCTACTAAGTTAGGACCAAATACTAGATAATTAAGCAATTTATTTGAATAAACATAATATATAAACTGATAAAGATATATATAATTTTAAGGAAAAACATAAATAGTTCTATATAAATTTATATCATTAAAAATTTAATTAAATTATTTAAATTTGACATATTTTTAATATTACGAAAATAAGAATATTCACATATATATATAAATGAGAGAAAGATTTCCTTCCAGTTCTGGGGATGCTCGCCTTAAGATCCCTCTATAAACATTCAATACGTTGAGCATGGGTCGATATATCATTTAGGTCTATTAAGTTTCTGCTGTGATTGACCGAGTAATGATCATATCCATCTTCATTAAGATTTTTATAACCTTGAAAAAAAATTAAATTTTAAGATTTGTGCGATCGCATATTTATTATTTTTTAATAAAAAATTTTTAAAAAAAATATATATTAAAAATTATCTCGAGTTTCAGTGAGTTACCGCTAAAACATATACAATGAAAATAAACCTTTTTTTTCTAACAAATAAAATGCACTTGAAAGGGTTAAACATAAAATAACATAAAATTTTTGTTGTTTGTTTAAGACAAACAAATAAATTGATAAAATAATAGTTTTTAAAAAATTCTTTTTTTTGTATAAATTGAAAATTTATATGAAAATGGTACTAATTAATATAATTTATAAGAAAAGTCTCCTGAGGATTCATTTTTATAAATATACCAAGGATATTTTTTATCATGATATAAAAAATATTCACAATGCTATAGTTCCTAAAATTTGTGTAGGGAGTACGCCATTATTTTAAAATAAATAATAATAGGGAGCAAGTTAAAATTGGCGAAATATGAAAAGAATTTAGGGTTAAAAATATTTTAACTATGGGTGGGTGGGCAAGTTAATAAATTTAAACAATGGGTGGGCGGGTTAAAAAAATTTAAATTATATAAGTAAATATTAATAAAAAATTGTTCCTATAAACTCTTTTGGATATGAAAAATTAAAATGTCCTTTTTTGGTATCATAAAAACTTTTTTCTTAAAATAAATAAACTTTTTTATATATTTAAAATTACTTTGGTGGAAACGACAATAAAGAGATTTGCCAAAGCTATCAAGCTAGCAAGAAAAATATTGGCAATTCCTGCAACTAGTGCTTCTTCTGAAGGAGGATTTAGCGCTGCTGGAAGGTTTTTAGAACAAAGAAGAATGTGTTTGAATCCAGAAAATGTCGATTCATTATTATTTTTGCATTATTAATTACATATAATATCAATTTTATATTTATATTATTTTCATAAATATTTTATCCATAATTTAAATTGAATATTGATTTATGCTTAATATAGTAATTTCTTTGTAGAGGTGTAATGCTGAAATTTTTTTTATTAGATGCTTAAAAAATTGAAAGAATGGCCATAATTAAAGATTAAAAATTTTTTATAAATAATGGGTGGAGGGTAAAAAATTTTAGACTGGGCGGGCGGGAAGGTAAGGAAATTTAGAATAATGAGCGGGCTGGGGGGGGGTTAAATTTTTTTAAACATTGGGTGGGCGGGCTTGGTCCAAAAACCCTCCCAATGCAGGCCTATACTTTATATAGAAGCATTTCATATAAAATACGATATTATCCATATTATATATAAATTATATGAATATATTATTATGCATAAATGGGAATAGATAAAAAAAACAAAGTGAAAAAATTATAATATTTACTATAGCGAATCTTTTTTGA